GAAACCCAAGGAGGGGTCGCTATGAGTTGGGTTCAACTCAGTGGCACACAACAACAACAATAACAACAACTCTAAATTCAAGAGGGATATAATCAAGGTCATATTTTGGTTCTTGTGGACTTGTTTAAATTGTCTTCAACTTCAACTTCAACTTGCATATGAGCAGTTCATGGTCTGTTCCACAGTCAGTTCCTGGCCTTGGTTTGGCTGAAGATATGAGTTTTTCCATCATCTCTGGGCACAGATGTAGTCAGTCTGATTCCTGTGTACTCCATCTGGCCAAGTCCATGTGTATGGTCAGTTTCTGTTGTTAAAAAAAGGTATTTGCAATTAATAAGTCATTGGTCTTGCAAAATTCTGTCATGCTATCCCCAGTGTTATTTCTATCACCAAGGCCATATTTTCCAACTAATGGTGATTCTTTGTTTCTAACTTTTGCATTACAATCACCAGTGACAATTAACACATCTTGATTGTCTGTTTGATCAATTTCAGACTGCAGATGATGGTAAAAATCTCCAATTTCCTCATCTTTGGCTTTGGTATTTGATGTGTAAATATGAATAATAGTAGTATTAACTGGTCATCCTTGGAGGCATATGGATATTATCCTGTCACTGACAGCACTGTACTTTAGGATAGATCTTGAATCATACTTTGTGATGATAAATGCCACGCCATTCCTCTTCAATTTGTCATTTCTGGCATAGTAGATCATATGGTTGTCTAATTCAAAATGGCCAAAACCAGTCCCTTTTATCTCACTAATGCCTAGGATATCGATCTTTATGCATTCTATTTCATTTTTGACAACTTCTCATTTTCCTAGATTCATACTTTGTGCATTCCATGTTCTGATTATTAATGGATGTTTGCAGCTGTTTCTTCTAATTTTGAGTCATGCCATATCAGCACATGGAGTTCTTGAAAGCTTTGCTTCATCCACATCATTAAGGTATGCTTTATTCTGAAGAGGCAGTTCTTCTCCAGTCATATCTTGAGTGCCCTCCAACCTGAAGGGCTCATCTTTTGGCACTATATTGGACAATGTTTCAGGGCTATTCATAATGTTTCCCAGTAATATATCAGACAGTTAGTTATTCACTGCTGTTCATAAGGTTTTCACTGGCCAATTGTTTGAGATGTGGAGGGCCTCTTCCTTCTTCTGAGTCTGCCTTACCACCATGAGTAACCCTACTGGCATTTGAAACACCAGTGGCATAGCCTCCAGCCTCACAGCAACATGCAAGC